TTTCAATTAGGCTTTCAAGTCCTAAGCCCCACCCCTCCTAACCCACCTAGGCAGAAATCACTGCAGATCCTTGCTTCCTAATCTCTGCCTCAGTTTCAAACATCCATAAAATGGAAATAACCACCCACCTCACACGGGTTAGGAGTGTTGTTTTTTGAGACAGGATCTCACTGTCTCCTAGGCTGGAGTACAGTGGCGCAATCTCAGCTCACTGTAACTTCCGCCTCCCGGGTTAAAGCAATTCTCACGCCTCAGTCTCCCAAGTAGCTGGGATTACAGGTGCCTGCCACCATGCCCAACTAATTTTTGTATTAGTGGAGATGGGGTTTCACCATGTTGACCAGGCTGGTCCCGAACTCCTGACCTCAAGTGATCCTCCCACCTCAGCCTTCAAAAGTGCTGAGATGACAGGTGTGAGCCACCGCGCCTGACCTAGGGGCTAAGAGTATTAAATGTAAAATGTTAAGAACAGGCCAGGTGTGGTGTCTCACAACTGTAATCCCAGCACTTTGGGAGGCCGAGACGGGCGGATCACGAAGTCAGGAGATCGAGAACATCCTGGCTAACACGGTGAAACCCCGTCTCTACTAAAAATACAAAAAACTAGCCGGGTGTGGTGGCGGGCGCCTGTAGTCCCAGCTACTCGGGAGGCTGAGGCAGGAGAATGGCGTGAAACCGGGAGGCGGAGCTTGCAGTGAGCCGAGATTGCACCACTGCCCTCCAGCCTGGGCGACAGAGCGAGACTCGGTCTCAAAAAAAAAAAAAAATTTTAAGAGCAGACCAAGTTCATCAAACAGCTCCACACTCTTGTTCCATGTTCTGGATTGGGGAGTTGGCAGGGTGAAGGTGTAGAACTTTTAAAAAGGTTTTTAAAATAAGTTGCTGTGAATACTTCAGGTGTATAAAAAAAAAAACATTGACAGCCAGTGTTCTGCCATTCTTACCTGCTTATCAAGACAAAACCTGCCCAAGTCCCTGCCCAGCTGCATTCCAAGTGTTTTCAAGTTTGATGGTAAGACCTGACCTGAGGCTTCTTACACCTTTACTCAGTGGGAATATGCATACAGTTCACTACAAAAATATTTGTGTTTACTTAGAGGACGTGCCCTGGATCTGTGGGCCGGGCGACGCGGTCTTTTCTAAATTGTTCTTTTCTAAATTGTTAAAAGCAGTTCATGCCGTTATTCTTAATAAACATTTGTAATATGCTGTGAAAGAGTCGATTCGTTTTTTGTTTTTTTTTTTTTTTTTTTTGAGACGGAGTCTCGCTCTGTCGCCCAGGCTGGAGTGCAGTGGCCGGATCCCAGCTCACTGCAAGCTCCGCCTCCCGGGTTCATGCCATTCTCCTGCCTCAGCCTCCCGAGTAGCTGGGACTACAGCCGCCACCTCGCCCGGCTAGTTTTTTTGTAGTTTTAGTAGAGACGGGGTTTCACCGTGTTAGCCAGGATGGTCTCGATCTTCTGACCTCGTGATCCGCCCGTCTCGGCCTCCCAAAGTGCTGGGATTACAGGCTTGAGCCACCGCGCCCGGCCTGATTCGTTTTTTAATACATATATCTATTTACTCATTGTTCCCATGAAAAAGCCTTGTACGCAAACCTCCAAATGCCGAAGGAGCCAAGAAACGAGGCAGACAAAAATTGTTGGTAAAGGGTGCTTTACTGGGGGAACTTAGAAGCATGACGTGGGGCCGGGCACGGTGGCTCACACCTGTCATCCCAGCACTTTAGGAGGCTGAGGCAGGAGGAACGCTTGAGCCCAGAAGTTCCAAACCAACCTGGGTAACATAGTGAGGCACCCACCACCTGCCACCTGTCCCCTGCCCCTGTTAAACCAAAATAAAAATTAGCCGGGTGTGATGGTGCACACCTGTGGTCCCAGCTACTTGGGAGGCTGAGGTGGGAGGCTTGGGAGGCTGAGGAGGACTGCTTGAGCCTGGAAGGTCTAGGCTGCAGTGAGGGCATTTTTGCCTGGGTAACAGCGACACCTGTCTCAAAAAAAAAAAAAGCATAAGACATCTATTAACATCTATAAAGATCAATTAATGTCTCTACTATGTTTGTTTAGCAAATCTTTTTTTCTTTTTTCTTTTTTTTTTTTTAAGATGGGAGTCTTGCTCTGTCTCTGTAGCTGGAGTGCAGTGGCCCCATCTGGGCTCACTGCCACCTCTGCCTCCTGGTTCATGCCATTCTTCTCACTATAGCCTCCCGAGTAGCTGGGAGATCACAGGCGCCGGCCACTTTTTTTTTTTTTTTTTTTTTTTTTTGAGATGACATCTGCTGCTCTGTCACCCAGACTAGAGTGCAGTGGCGTGATCTCGGCTCACTCCAGCCTCGACTTCCCAGGCTTAAGCAATGCCCCCACCTCAGCCTCCAGAGTAGCTGGAATTACAGGGATGCATCACCCATGCCTAAGCCTCCTGAGTAGCTGGAATTACAGGCACCCACCACCATGCCCGGTTAATTTTTGTATTTTCAGTAGAGATGGGTTTTCACCATGTTGGCCAGGTTGGTCTTGAACTCCTAACCTCAGGTGATCTGCCCAGTTTGGCCTCCCAAAGTGCTGGGATTACAGGTGTGAGCCACTGCTCCTGGCCCTCCTCTTCAATTTTTTGAAAGAATTTATGAAGGATTGGTATTCCTTCTTGAAATACTTGGCAGATATCACTGAAACCATCTTGGTCCTAGGCTTTTCTTTGTTGGGAGATTTTTGATGAATGATCCAGTCTGCTTACTTGTTATCAGTCTGTTCAGATTTTCTATTCTTGAGTCGGTAGAGTGTATATTTCTAGGAGTGTGTCCATTTTTTCTAGGTTATCCAATTTGTGTATCAGTTGTTCATAGTAGTCTTTAGTAGGCTTATTATTATTTGAGATAGGGTCTCACTCTGTCACCCAGGTTGGAGTGCAGTGGCACAGTCACGGCTCACTGTAGCTTCAACCTCCCAGAATTAAGTGATCCTTCCTGCCTCAGCCTCCTGGATAGCTGGGATTACAGGCACACACCACCACGCCTGGCTAATTTTTGTATTTTTAGTAGAGATGGAGTTTCGCCATGTTGGCCAGGCTGGTCTCGAACTCCTGACCTCAAGTGATCCTCCCACCTCAGCCTCTCAAGGTGCTGGGATTACAGGCGTGAGCCACTGTGCCTGGCGGGTCCTTTGTATTTCTGTGGTTTCACTTGTAATGTTTCTGATTTTATTTACTTCGTTTATGTTTTCAAAAAACCAACTCTTAGTGTCATTAATCTTTTCTATTTTTTTCATCTATTTCATTTATTTTTGCTCTGATTTTGTTATTTCCATCTTTCTGCTAACTTTGAACTTCATTCTTTTTCTAGTGCCTTGAGGTATAAAGTTAGGTTGTTTATCTTTATTTCTTTTCTTTCTTTTTTTTTTTTTTTTTTTTTTTTTTGAGACAGGGTCTTGCTCTGTCACCCAGGCTGGAGTGCAGTGGCAAGATCACAGCTCACTGCAACCTCCACCTCCTGGGCTCTAGGGATCCTCCCACCTCAGCCTCCCGAGTAGCTGAGACCACAGGCACACACCACCATGCCTGGCTAATTGTTTTATTTTTTGTGGAGACAAGGGTCTCACTATGTTGCCAAGACTGGTGTTGAACTCCTGGCCTCAAGAGATCTTCCTGGCGGGGTGCAGTGGCTCACGCCTGTAATCATAACACTTTGGGAGACCAAGGTGGGCGAATCACTTGAGGTCAGGAGTTTGAGACCAGCCTGGCCAACATGGTGAAACCCCGTCTCTACTAAAAATACAAAAAATTAGCCGAGCATGGTGGCAGGCACCTGTAACCCCAGCTGCTTGGGAGGCTGAGGCAGGAGAATCACTTGAACCTGGCAGACGGAGGTTGCAGTGAGCAGAGATAGCGCCACTGCATTCCAGACAGAGTGAGACTCCGTCTGAAAAACAAATAAACAAAAACAAAAAACAAAGCACAAACATCTTCCTGTCTTGGCCTCCCAAAGTGCTGGAATTACAGGCGTGAGCCACTGTGCCCGGCCAGAATAGTATTGTTTAATTTCCACATATTTGTGAGTGTTCTGATTTTCCTCCTTTTATTGATTTCTACTTTTATACCACTGTGGTCAGAAAGGCTCTTGATATGATTTCATTCTTCTTAAACTTGTTAAAACTTGATTTTGTGAAGGTTCGTTATACCAATACTATTCTTTTGTGTAAGTTTGAAATTTTCCATTAAAAGAGTGAAAAAGAAAGCTATCAGGGATGTGGTTTGTTCCCCTTCCACATTGGTGTGGGCAGTGCAGACCCTCAGGTGTTTTCTGCAGGCTCACTGTGTCTCCCACAGCCCTCTCCTTAGTTACAGGCGTTTCTACTCCAAGGGCCTCAAGAAGCCCTGTTCTATAATTGCTACCTTCTATTTCCCGATATCTGACATTCATTAATAAAGTTGATATTTGACCGGGCGCGGTGGCTCACGCCTGTAATCCCAACACTTTGGGAGACCGAGGTGGGTGGATCACCTCAGGTCAGGAGTTTGAGACCAGCCTGGCCAACATGGTGAAACCCCGTCTCTACTAAAAATACAAAAATTAGCCAGGCGTGGTGGTGTGTGCCTGTAATCCCAGCTACTCGGGAGGCTGAGGCACGAGAATCGCTTGAACCCGGGAGGTGGAGGTTGCAGTGAGCTGAGATCACGCCACTGCATTCCAGCCTGGGTGACAGCTTGAAACTCTGTCTCAGAAAAACTAAATAAATAAAAATTAAAAATAAAGAAAGTTGACATTTTCCAGACACTAGCTCTAGAACCCTACTTGCTTCCCCTCCCCAGTGACAGCCCTCAGGATCCCCCTGGCTTCCTCAGGCAGAAAGACCATCCTTTTGCTGAGCATCAGAAGTCCTTATTTCTCTCCTCTTGAACCCAGGACCTCTTTTAAACACCAGTCTCCTCGCCTGTTAAATGGAGATAATAAAGGTAGCCCATTCAATGAGTTAAGACATGGAAACACCTAGATCAGTGTCTGGTAGTTGGGACAGAGTCAGTCAATGTTAGCATTTATTCTGTGTGTCACATAATAACAACAGGGACACCACAGCAGACAGGACATGTCTTTCCCTCAGGAATCATGCATTGGTGGGGTCCACCTACAATAAGCTAAAACATTGCTGTGTAATGTAATGTTAGGGCATGGGAAACATTAAGGGAAATAAAGCAGGGTTGGGGTGGAGAGTGAGATGTGCTGGTTTACACATGGCAGTCAGGGAAGGTGACTCTGAGAAGGTGCCTTTCAACAGAGACCCAATGTTCGAGGGAGAGCAGTCAAGGAGGATATCCAGTGATCTAGTTCGTGGGAATGGTTCCTCCACAGCGCTCTGGCTCCCTTGCACATCTCCACACAGGCCACGCAGGTAAGTTGATGTAAGTCTTGGCAGAACGCCCTGTAATCCTTGGAACACAGAGCACGGAAGGTTTGTGGGGAGCTCTCACGAGGCCATTTACCATTCACCTCCCTATCTACCAAGTAGCCTGTTGTGAGACAGTTTTCTCCCCACCTCCTGATGTTCTGGTGGGGTTTGAGGCTTTCTACCCCTCACCTCTGGGTTATAGAACTGCTTAGCTGCAGCATGAAATGAGCTCCTCAGCAACAAGGTGTCCTGCCACCTGGGGTATGGTCATCTCGCCCCTTTCATTTTGATGTTGCCAGGCCCAAGAGACATGAACCAGAATCTGTGGCTGTTCTTGCTTTCGTGGTCCATGTATATAACATCCGAATGTAACAAGGGCTCGTTTCATTTCCGGCCAAACCTGTCAGTCTTACCTTGCTACGACATCTGGAAGAGGAGAATTAAAGGCAGAGGTAAAAGCAAACAGGTGCAAAGGCCCTGAGGAGGGAGCTGCTTGGTGTGTGGGGAACACCAAGAAAGCCAGTGGGGCAGGAGCAGAGTGAGCCAGGGGCCAGTGGCAGGTGGTGAGGTCAGGGAGGGTCCAGAGGGCCTCGTGGGTCACCGAGAGGACTTTGGCTTTTTCTCTGAGAGAGATGAGAGCCACGGCAGGGCTCTGAGCAGAGGAGGGCCCTGGGCTGACTTGGGTTGCAACAGGATCATTCTGGCTGCCGTGAGAACAGATTGAGGAGAGGGGGCGAGGACGGCAGTGGTGAGGAGGCTGCTGCAATTGTCCAGACCAGCGATGGTGGTGGCGGCAGTGGACGCAGAGACGAGAGCTCAGATCCTGGCATATTCTGAAGGTGGAACTTACAGGGTTTGCTGACAGATCAAAGCGGGGGCAGGATGACAAAGTACTTGTTAGGAATCCACACTAGACGAGCTCACAAAAAGTAACTTGACAGTTGGTGTCAGTGTTGTGGTTAAGAACAGGGATTCGGAGCCAAGTGGCCTATGTATAAATCCAGTTCCATTGCTTACTGGTTGCGTGACCTCGGGCAGGTCACTTCCTCTGTTTTCATTTCCTCACCTGTGAGATGAGATGGCAATCATATCTACTTCACAAGGCTGCTATTGTAAGGATTACACAAGATTTTCTATTAATGTAAAGTGCTTCAGGCTGGGCGCAGTGGCTCATACCTGTAATCCCAGCACTTTGGGAGGCTGAGGCAGGTGGATCACTTGAGGTCAGGAGTTCGAGACCAGCCTGGCTAACAAGGAGAAACCCCGTCTCTACTAAAAATACAAAAATTAGCCAGGTATGGTGGCACATGTCTGTAATCCCAGCTACTCGGGAGGCCAAGGCAGGATAACTGCTTGAACTTGGGAGGCAGAGGTTGCAGTGAACCGAGATTGTGCCATTGCACTCCAGCCCGAATGACAGTGAGACTCCATCTCAAAAAAATAATAAATTAGGCCAGGCGCAGTGGCTCACGCCTGTAATCCTAGCACTTTGGTAGGCCGAGGCGGGCGGATCACGAGGTCAGGAGATCGAGACCATCCTGGCTAACACAGTGAAACCCTGTCTCTACTAAAAATACAAAAAAATTTGCCGGGGGTGGTGGCGGGTGCCTGTAGTCCCAGCTACTCGGGAGGCTGAGGCAGGAGAATGGCATGAACCCAGGAGGTGGAGCTTGCAGTGAGCAGAGATTACGCCACTGCACTCCAGAGCCTAGGGGACAGAGCGAGACTCTGTCTCAAAATAAATAAATAAATAAATAAATTTAAATGAATAAATTATGATTGGCGTAAATAAAGTGCTTGTTATTAGTGACATGACCATAGGATGAGAAGTGTCAGGGAAGTGAGTCATAGCAGAGAGCATTCCAGATACCAGAAACACTGTATAGTTTTCAAAGCATGTGACAGGAAGCCAGCGTGGCTGGAACATAACCTGATGGAGTAAGAGTGCCAAGGGGTGAGGTTGGAGAGGAAGCCTAGGTGGAGATCAGCCCCTCACGGTAGCTGGACACCATTGCAGACCTTGGCGCATATAGCAGTCCTGGAGGTCAGAAGAGACACAGGAACATAATTAGATCTGGGACTTAGTGCTGGGGGTGCACAGAGCTAGGAGAGGGACTGGTCATTATTGTCAACAATGCTGGCTGGTTACTAGGGGTTGGTGGTTTCTGGTGTCCAGGATAAGAAACAGTCCAGTTCGAGCATTAGGACAAATACCTAATGCATGCAGGGCTTAAAACCTAGATGATGGGTTGATAGGTGGAACAAACCACCATGGCACATGTATACCTATGTAACAAACCTGCATACGTTCTGCACAGGTATCCCAGAACTTAAAGTAAAACAAAACAAAACAAAACAAAAACAAAACAAAACAAAAACAGTTCGACTTCCCACTGGAGTCCAAACACTAGTTCTAACATTGTCTACATCTGTGGCCATGGGCAGTAAACCCCTCCAGAGTTCACTTTCCTTATCTTCAAAATGGGGTTTAAATATCATACCTACCTCCTTAGGTTTGTGACAGTACATATAAGATCAGTATAGTCAGCACTCAGTAATGCAGGCTATCACCACAACCAGGTGGGACCTATCCCAGGACAGCAAGGGTGGCTTGACATTTGAAAAGCATGAGATGTAGTTCAACATATTAGCAGCAAAGAAAGAGAATCAAGGGCTGTAATCGCCTGGGACTGTGATATCAGATCCAAGGGCTAAACCCTCCCAGACCTGCAGTCTAGCCCTGAATGCCTCACTGGGCAAGCTGAATTGAGATCTCAAGACCAGAGTGACCCTAGTCCTATCCCTGTGAAGTGATTTCCGCTGGCTCTGAATCCGTGGCCGGCAGGCTTCAACAGCCGCCTTATCCTCACACTCAGCAGTCCAAGGCTTTGTGCATTCTGGTTTCAGTTCAAGTTTATTTTTCACACCTGCCCCCCAGCAACAATAACCAAACTACTTTTTTTTTAAAAAAAAAAAAAAGAAGAATCTTACTCTGTTGCCCAGGCTGGAGTGCAGTGGCGTGATCTCTGCTCACTGCAACCTTCACCTCCCAGGTTCAAGCAATTCTCCCGCCTCAGCCTCCTCAGTAGCTGAGATAACAGGCACCCGCCACCATGCCCAGCTAATTTTTCTACTTTTAATAGAGAAGGGGTTTCACCATGTTGAACAGGCTAGTCTCAAACTCCTGGCCTCAAGTGATCCACCCACCATGGCCTCCCAAAGTGTTGGGATTACAGGTGTGAGCCGCCATGCCCGGCCAAACTACTATTTCATTTACAAGTTTACCAATTTCTTACATTATTATTTTCTTACTGTTGATCTTGGCAGTTAGAATCATAGCTCCAGTGACTGAAGAAGTATCTGTCAGAAAGCTGGCTCACTAGTTCAGCATGCCAGGGGCCACTCAGGGCTCTGTTGAGGCTTCTTCCAAAGGCAGAAATCTCATTTCTGACTTTGGCTATAGGGGTTGTGAGAACTTTGGCTTCAGAGGCAAATGTTTTCCCATCAGGAAATGATGAAAGTTATGACCTCATATCCTAACCCCCACTCACCCCATCTAGGAAGAAACTTCAGGGGTGAGATAAGTGAATGACGATTCCGTGTCTCCACTCCAATTACACCTCAGCTCTGTGGCTCCTCCCGTTTCTGTCTCTGGTCTTGATTCTCAGCACACCTGTCCCCTGAACCACCTACACTTTCCCTCAAATCATGCTTTACTTTGTCCCCTGAAGTTGGGGCCCAACTTGAGATTTTATTTCAGCCTGTGGGAGCAATGAAAACAGACACAGCGCGGTGGCTCACGCCTGTAATCCCAACACTTTGGGAGGCCAAGGCGGGCGGATCACAAGGTCAGGAGATCGAGACCACGGTGAAACCCTGTCTCTACTAAAAATACAAAAAATTAGCCAGGCGCGGTGGTGGGCGCCTGTAGTCCCAGCTACTCAGGAGGCTGAGGCAGGAGAATGGCGTGAACCCAGGAGGCGGAGCTTAGAGACTCCATCTCAAAAAAAAAAAAAAAAAAGGCAGACACAGCCAATGTAGTCCACTGCATTCCTTTGCATTTCTTTCTTTCTTTCTTTCTTTTTTGAGACAGGGTCTCACTCTGTTGCCCAGGCTGGAGTGCAGTGGTGTGATCACGGTTCACTGCAGCCTCAACTTTGCAGGCTCAAGTGATCCTCCCACCTCGACCTCCTGAGTAGCTGGGACTACAGGTGTGCACCATCACGCCTAGTTATTTTTTTCTATTTTGTAGAGATAGGGTCTCACCATGTTGTCAGGCAGATCTCAAATTCTGGGGCTCAAGCAGTCCTCCTGCCTCAGCCTCCCAAAATGTTGGGATTATAGGTGTGAGGCGCCACACCCAGCCTTTCCTTTGCATTTCTAAACTCTGGGAGCCAGATAGGTAGGGGGCTCATAAAGGAAGGACGAGTCTGGAAAAAAGACAGCCCCTGCCCGTTTCTTCCACCCTCGTAGTCACTGTTGTGATGAGTATCATCTTCAAACAACTCAGGCTTACCTGTCTTTTCTGTCCAAATCTGGTTTTGCTGTTCATTTGGCTGGGACCTTCACCCATCACTCTGACAGTAAAACAGCCCTGGATCCTGTTAGAGTGAATGGGGTTTGTGGTCCTCCATGGGTTTGAGCTTTTTTTTCTAGATGTCATGATTGCAACCAAAGTCATTCACAATCTCTCCTTGATACCCCCAGGCCTGAGACCCTCATTTCCCCGACTCACTGACCTGCCGTTCCCACAGATAAAACTGCCCCTTTCTCTCCAAGTTCTCAACAAGCTGCAACTGCCTTCTTTTATCGGCTTGTTGTTCAAAACCCATTTTTAGGCCGGGCGCGGTGGCTCACGCCTGTAATCCCAGTACTTTGGGAGGCAGAGGTGGGCAGATCACGTGAGGTTAGGAGTTTGAGACCAGCCTGGTGAAACACTGTCTCTGCTAAAAATACAAAAAATTAGCCAGGTGTGGTGGTGTGTGCCTGTAATCCCAGCTACTCGGGAGGCTGAGGCAGGAGAATGGCTTGAACCCAAAAGGCAGAGGTTGCAGTGAGCCGAGGTCACATCATTGCACTGCAGCCTGGGCAACAACTGTCTCAAAAACAAAAACTCTGTCTCAAAAACAAAAACTCGGACACTGTGTCTCAAAAACAAAAACAAAAACCATTTTTAATCTAATGACAGCACATACATGTTAAAACAATTCAAACAGGTTGGGTGCAGTGGCTGACGCTTGTAATCCCAGGACTTACAAGGCCAAGGCGGGTGGATCACTTGAGGCCAAAAGTTCAAGACCAGCCTAGCCAACATGGTGAAACCCTGTCTCTATTAAAAACACAAAAATTAGCTAGGCGTGGTAGTCCACGATTGTAATCCCAGATACTTGGGAGGCCAAGACACGAGAATCGCTTGAGCCGGGAGGCAGAGGTGCCCATGTTGGCCAGGCTGGTCTCTAACTCCTGGTCTCAAGTGATCCACCCTCCTCAGCCTCCCAAAGTGGTGGGATTACAGGCGTGAGCCACAGTGCCTGGGCAACAAACCTTTCATTAGCTTGTTTTGTCTAGTATCTTATAGCCTTATAGAAGAAGTTTTTAAAATAATTTTTATAAATTTAATATGTGAATATTGAAAAACAACAATAAAATAATTCATTCCAATGGTAAAACAGAATTTTCCAGGTATCCCTGACTCGAATTCCTGACTCTCCTGTGATTTCATTCCATCACATTTCTTTGGAAGCAGAGTGGTGGGATGAAGGGGCAGGGCTCTGTTGAGAGAAGGTGGAAGTGAATGGGAAAGGCATTTATCACAACACTCTTTATGATGAAAAAAGAACATAGAAATAAACCCAATGCCGGTCACAAATAGGGGACCAGTTCAGGGCTGGGTGTGGTGGCTCATGCCTATAAATCCCAGCTCCTTGGGAGGCTGAGGTGGGATGATGCCTCAAGGCCACAAGTTCGAGACCAACCTGGGCAACATATCAAGACCCATCCCCCCATCTCTTTTTTTTAAAATACAGGGTTTCACTCTAACATCCAAGCTGGAGTGCAGTGTCATGGCTCACTGCAGCCTTGACCTCCCAGGCTCAAGTGATCCTCCCACCTCACCTTCCTGAGTAGCTGGGACTATAAGCACACACCACCACACCCAGCTAATTTTGTTTTTGTAGAGATGTAATCTCAAGGTATTACCCAGGCTGGTCTCAAACTCCTAGACTCAAGTCATCTTCTTGCCTTGGCCTCCCAAAGTATTGGGATTACAGGTGCAAGCCACCATGCCCAGCCAACCCCATCTCTCTCTCTCTCTTTTTTAATTGATTTATGTTTGAGATGGAGTTTTGCTCTTGTTGCCCAGGCTGGAGTGCAATGGCACGATCTCAGCTCACTGCCACCTCTGCCTCCAGGGTTCAAGTGACTGTCCTTGCCTCAGTCTCCCAAGTAGCTGGGATTTTTACAGGCGCCTGCCACCATGCCCGGCTAAATTTTTATCTTTTTAGTAGAGACAGAGTCATCATGTTGCCCAGGCTGGTCTCGAACTCCTAACCTCAGGTAATCTGCCTGCCTCAGCCTCCCAAAGTGCTGGGATTACAGGTGTGAGCCACCACACCCAGCTTTTTTTTTTTTTTTTTCCCAGAGACAGGGTCTCGCTCTGTTGCCCAGGCTGGAGTATAGTGGCACAATCACAGCTCACTGCAGCCTTAACCTCCCAGGCTCAAGCAATTCTTCTGCCTCAGCCTCCCGAGTAGCTGGGACTACAGGCATGTACCACCATGCCTGACTAATTTTTGGTAGAGATGGGGTCTCACTTTGTTCCCCAGGCTGGTTTCAATCTCCTGGACTCAAGTGATCCTCCCACCTCAGCCTTCCAAAGTGCTGGGATTACAGACATAAGCCACTATGCCCAGTTGACACCATGTCTTTAAAAAAAAAAAAAAAAAAAAAAAATCTTCAGGGAACCAGTTCCATAAAATGTCACCCTTGAATTCCCTGGGCTTCAAATATCCTCATCTGTAAATTGGCGATAGTAATAGGACCCACAACCTTCAGTTATTATGATTAAATTGGCCGGGTGCAGTGGCTCACACCTGTAATCCTAGCACTTTGGGAGGCCGAGGCAGGCGAATCACTTGAGCTCAGGAGTTTGAGACCAGCCTGGGCAACATGGTGAAACGCTGTCTCTACCAAAAATAGAAAAATTATCCGGGCATGGTGTCAAATGCCTGTGGTCCCAGCTCCCGGGAGGCTGAGATGGGAGGACTGCTTGAGCCCAGGTGGCAGAGATTGCAGTGAGCCAAGATCATGTCATTGCACTCCAGCCTGGGTGACAGAGTGAGACCCCATCTCAAAAAAAAAAAAAAAAAAGATTAAATAGATTAACATATATAAAATACCTTGAACAGTACCCAGCACATTGTCTCATAAATATTGTTCTTGTTAACGTTACACGTTTGTGCAGTGAAATAGAGTCTATTCTTTATCAATCATGTTACAAAATAGTATTTAATATTAAAAGACACTGATAAGCTTGTTACATGGACGAGGGAGATGCTGAGTCAATACAATACAGTGGGATCTTTCAGTGACTTTAAAACATTGTTCAATTGATTGTATTTGTTATAAAAATAGTGTGGAAAATAACAGCTTCGAATTTTATGTCAGTTGATGTTAAGATCCAACAGGAAGTTTACCCTGATAACGTTAAGATGAACAATTTGAAACGCAGCTTCCTGCTGGAAGTTGAAATAGAGATGATTCAGATAGCCTCCTTGGATCCAAACCCCAAAGCTTATTTTGCCTAATTCTATCTTCTGTCTTTAGAAACTCAAGCCTCAAGCTTTCTGGGGGCATCCAAGTCCAGCCATCCCAGTCACACACACACAACCGACCTTATTCATCCCAGGGGTGTGCAGAGGCCCACTGCAAGAACTGGTGAACTTTCAAGGCGTCTTTACATATATGATGATTTTTTATTACATTATTCAAGTTTTGCTTGGACAAGATTGTGCTGCTAAAAAGTGGCCTACACCACTTTTTTTTTTTTTTTTTCTTTTTTTTTAAGACAGGGTTTCACTCCCGTCACCCAGGCTGGAGTGCAGTGGCGCGATCTTAGCTCACCACAACCTCCGCGTCCTGGGCTCAAGCGATCCTCCTGTCACAACCTCCCGAGTAGCTGGGACTGCAAGCGCCCGCCACCATACCCGGCTAATTTTTGTAGTTTTAGTAGAGACAGGGTTTCACCATGTTGGCCAGGCTGTGAACTCCTGGCCTCAAGTGATCCACCTGCCTCGGCCTCCCTAAGTGCTGGGATTACAGGCGTAAGCCACCGCGCCCGGCCCTACACCACTTTTAAAAGTCGTGTTTCTTCTCTTTTTTATAATGTACTTCTGATTTCTAGGGCATGATTCGCAAACTCACCCCTGACGCTGTGTCCCTTAGACACTATCCTTCTATATACAAAAAGTGCCATTAACGAGTGGGTAGAACTCGAGGGGTGGAGCCTCCGTCCTTGGGCCTGAAGCGAATGTCCCTCAATGCGCCTGCGAGACTCCCACGCCCTGGGAAGGATGTCTATCGATTCGCTCTGGGCTCGGCAGCTCTTTCTGATAGCAGGCGGCCATCTTGCTTGGAGCCTGAGAAAGGGAGGAGAGACAGAAGGAACCGGCGACAGTGGTCTCAGGGCCGCTCCGGGGGGCCTCAAGAACCGGAGGCAGCCCCGGAGGTGGTTCCCGATCCCGGGCTATGCTCTTGGACCTGAGAAGGGAAGGCGGAGGGCGGCGGGGACAGGATGGATGGGGAATGTCAAGCAAGGAATACTAGGCGGGGGAGGGGCGTTGCTATGGCGACTGGGGAGGGGCGGTGTCTGTTCTGAATCGCTGTGTGTCACCCCGGCGCTGCCCAGGAAGGGCAGGGCTGGGGTGATGACCATGGTAACAGCCGGGTGGGAGTTCGTGACATCTCCGGCGCGGAGGGACTCGATGTCTATGGCAGTGGTCGCCTGGCGGACGGGACGGAACTAGATCCCTTCGCTCGGGACGCTCACATTCCAGGCCCTTGTCCTGCAGGCTCCCGCGGGCGGACACGCCAGAGGAGGAGGCCGGGGAATGGCCGCGGTGTGGCAGCAAGTCTTAGCAGTGGACGCGAGGTGAGGCGTGGGGTCGAAGCCCAGGGGAGCAGAACTTACTGTGGTGCATGCGCAATGGCGATAAGTGAGGCTGGGCGGAGAACTTGCCTTAATGCGGCTGCGTGGGCATGCCGGAGGTGAGCATGCGCAGTAGCGGGGGCGGGCACGCCCGCGGTGAGTTGGCTGGGCCGGAGAGGATTCTAAACAGCAAGCTGGGAAAGTGTGGTCAGATATGGGCATGCGCAACGACGCTGCCTGTGAGTGGGAGGTGGGGCTCAGGCTAGTGACATCCTATCCCCTATGGGTGTCCCCTGGACTTTTTTTTTTTTTTTTTACATCATCACTTCCCCATTCTGACCCCATCACCTCCCAACACTGACCCCCTTAATGTCATTCTGACTTCTGTCGCCCTGGTATACCGACCCCAATTATTGTCTGCACTGACTCAGTCACCCCGTATGGACCCCAGCAGGGCAGCAGACTGACACTGTTGTCTGCAAACTGACCTCATGACCATACTCATTATTACTGCAGACTCACTCCCACTGCAGGACCAAGAGGTCCCCCATCACCACTGCTAGTCATTCTAACCACCCAGGCCCCAGTCACTGCCACACACCTCACTCTCCTGCCCTATCTCCCGAGCTGATTGATTCCCTCTGTCCTGTGCCTGCTGCCTGCCCTGCATCCTGACCCTGCAGGTACAACGCGTACCGCACACCAACGTTTCCACAGTTTCGGACGCAGTATATCCGCCGGCGCAGCCAGCTGCTGCGGGAGAATGCCAAGGCTGGGCACCCCCCAGCGCTGCGTCGGCAGTACCTGAGGCTTCGGGGGCAGCTGCTGGGCCAGCGCTACGGACCCCTCTCTGAGCCAGGCAGTGCTCGTGCCTATAGCAACAGCATCGTCCGCAGTAGCCGCACTACCCTTGACCGCATGGAGGTGAGCTCCTGGCCACATTTACCCCCTGGGCATACCCTGCCTGCACACATTCACTCCACTGACTTTCATCAAGCGTCTGCTCTTTGCTGGGCACTGTTCTGCATCAGCAGAGGACAAAAATATAATATGTCAAGTAAATCAATAAATAGACAAAAAACTTGGTAAACAGGTCAGTAAACATATAGCAAGCCCTGTCTTGAGTATCTGCTGAGCAGGGGGAGGGCAGGAACAGCAGAACTCATGAGGAAGCCACTATACAAGCGGGCAGCGGTGGTGGTGGCAGGGGGCACCGTGAGAAGTGATCTGGCTCTAGGTAGATTTTCAGGGCTCCACACCTCAGAGGTTCTCGGGTTTTTTGCAGGATGCACCCACCCTGACCCTTTCCATTTGCAGGACTTTGAGGATGATCCTCGGGCCCTGGGGGCCCGTGGGCACCGTCGTTCTGTCAGCCGAGGCTCCTACCAGCTGCAGGCACAGATGAACCGTGCTGTCTATGAGGACAGGTATGCACAGAGGCAACCAAGGCTGGGGGTGGGTTGCGAGGAGGAGAGGGGCCCTGGGGCAATGGCAGACTGAACACTTTTGCATCTACCTCCTGTCACCCCTCACTTCCTATTGGGGCCCAGGCCCCCTGGCAGCGTGGTGCCCACGTCAGCGGCAGAGGCAAGTCGGGCCATGGCCGGGGACACATCACTGAGCGAGAACTATGCCTTTGCGGGCATGTACCATGTTTTTGACCAGCACGTGGATGAGGCAGGTGAGCCAGTGGGTGGCGGGTTCCATCACCAAGCATTTGCCCAAACTGTGACAACCAACCAAGGCATCCTTTTCTGAATCCAAGGCCCCTGGCACACCTCCAAAGGAGGAATGACCATCCGTAAAGCCTTTTGCAGACTGAAAATCCCTCTGCAAAGTGGTCTGCAGAGTCTCAGTGCTTCGTCTATTGGAAAGGGCCTCAGAAGCCTAAGAGAGCCCTTTGCAGCAGGCTGCCTGGGTTCCTGAGTCACTTGGAAGAGTTCAAAGCCTTTGCTGATGATAAATCCCCTTGCAGAGGGCAGAGTGGGCTACAGTGTCAAGGGTTTTGCAAACTGCCAAGAACTTGATTATAAAGTGTTCGCTAAGACAGGAACTTTCTCACATTGCAGAAGACTTGCAATCTGCAAAGGAGCTGCTAAGACTTAGGGAGTTTTGGCAGAGAGTCTTCTGGGGTTACAGTTCCCTTTGTCAGCCAAGGAAAGCCCTTTGCTGAGGCCACTGTGCCTCATGCCGTGGGGCCCCAGCCCCTGGCACACACGTCAGAGCCTTTTAGAGAGAAAAGTGCCCAATGAGTGTGCAGACTCCCACTAATGGCTTCTTGGCATTGCAGTCCCAAGGGTGCGCTTCGCGAATGATGACCGGCACCGCCTGGCCTGCTGCTCACTCGACGGCAGCATCTCCCTGTGCCAGCTGGTGCCCGCCCCACCCACAGTGCTTCGTGTGCTACGGGGCCACACCCGTGGTGTCTCTGACTTCGCCTGGTCCCTCTCCAATGACATCCTCGTGTCCACCTCACTGGATGCCACCATGCGCATCTGGGCCTCTGAGGATGGCCGCTGCATCCGGGAGATCCCTGACCCTGATGGCGCTGAACTGCTCTGCTGCACCTTCCAGCCCGTCAACAACAACCTCACCGTGGTCAGGCTCCAGGACACCCACTCATCAAGGGCTGATGGGCTGGGTCAGGAAGGCCATCTGAGGGATTCAGAGTATAAGGAGGGACAGCCAGGGGGGCCTAGGATCCCCCCACACCCGCCCAATCTCGTCACAGCAGTCCTAGTGTGGTCAGACTTAAAAGGGAAGCAAATCAGAAGACAGGGGAGTGGGCCGGGCGTGGTGGCTCACGCCTGTAATCCCAGCACTTTGGGAGGCTAAGGAGGGTGGATCACGAGGTCAGGAGATCGAGACCATCCTGGCTAACACGCTGAAACCCCGTTTCTGCTAAAAATACAAAAACTTAGCCGGGTGAGGTGACGGGCGCCTGTAGTCCCAGCTACTCGGGAGGCTGAGGCAGGAGAATGGCATGAACCTGGGAGGTAGAGCTTGCAGTGAGCCGAGCTGGTGCCACTGGGTGACAGAGCGAGACTCCGTCTCAAAAAAAAAAAAAGGGGAGTGCCATTCTTGGTCTGCGATGGCCTTGCTGTGGTATACTCCAGGGAGCACTGGCCAGGGGCAGGGTTCTGGCTCTGGGGCCCCTTTGGTCCCATCAGCTGCAGTCCTACAGTTTTCCAACTGCAGGGGCTACCTCTGAGGAGCAGGATGATGAGGCTAAGCCTTGTCTGGTCTGTCAGTGGCCCCACCATGTCAGACTCCAGGGTAGATTGGTCAGAGAGCAGGGGAAGGACATTAGAAAGTCTGGTGTAGCCCGGAGTGGGGTGGGGTGAACTGCTGAGGAACCGACTAAGGGTGAGCTTGTGGGCCGGGATTCTCCCCACATCAGCAGCAGCCCCACAAGTTCCAGAAAGGAGCAGCCAGGGAGCAGGGGAAAGCTGGGATCACAGGCCTAGATGGGCCCTGTGGTTCTCACACTGTGGGAGGACCGACCAAGGGGCAGCATGATGGCTCTGAAGGCCCTTTAGTCCCATAGGCAGGTGGCCTACTCTGGGCAGATTGCAAAAGGGGCTGGCTAGGGAGGTGGATTCATGCCTGGTCACCTTGTCTACCTGCCACAGCCGCACTGTGAATAGACTCAGGGACTAGCCAGTCGCATCAACAGCAGCCCCATTGTGGTCAGACTCAAGGAGGGCCTGGCTGGGAGCAGGATGATGGTCTGTGCATTCTCCCCACAGGTGGGGAACGCCAAGCACAACGTGCATGTCATGAACATCTCCACGGGCAAGAAAGTGAAGGGGGGCTCCAGCAAGCTGACGGGCCGTGTCCTTGCTCTGTCCTTTGATGCCCCTGGCCGGCTGCTCTGGGCGGGTGATGACCGTGGCAGTGTCTTCTCTTTCCTCTTCGACATGGCCACGGGTAGGCAGACAGCAGGCCTGCATCTGAGTGCTCGCCCTCCAGCCCTTCCAGGGCACAGCCCTCACCCTCGCCTTTGCCTTCCCTCCCTCTGCTGCTGCAGGGAAGCTGACCAAAGCCAAGCGTCTGGTGGTGCATGAGGGGAGCCCTGTGACCAGCATCTCAGCCCGGTCCTGGGTCAGCCGCGAGGCCCGGGATCCCTCACTGCTCATCAATGCTTGCCTCAACAAGCTGCTGCTCTACAGGTGGGTCCCCCATCAGGGCCTCCTGGAGATGGAGGGCCTGCCTCCTCCAGCACACTGGGACAGTAGCTCATCTCCTCCATCAGGTTAATTTAATTGAGGGAGCAGTAGTAGCAGTTAACAGTAATAGCAATAGTGAGCGCGTTTACAGCAATCACTGCGGCCAGGCCCATTCGAAGCAGTTTCCACGTATCACCATATTGAATCCTTGCACCGACCTGTGAGGTAGGTGCTGTTATTGTTTCCATTTTGCAGGCGAGCAAACTGAAGCATAAAATAGATTAGGGCTACCTAAAGCAGAGGCCTGTTTTCCTTTCTTTTTTCTTTTATTGTTTTTGTTTTTGCGGGGGGCAATTTGGGGGTTACTGTCCCCATTCACATCTGTCATGTTGCCCAAATGCAGTTCTCAGCCTGGGCCATACATTGAAATGACCTGAAGAGCTTCAAAAACTCTTGCCCGGGCCCCTCTGCAGGCCAGTAATTTCAGAAGCTTTGGGATGGGCCTGGGCATTGGTAGATTGAGAAATTCCCTAAGCGATATCTAGCCAGGCCTGAAAACCACTGCCTAACAGGATGCTTTTTATTCTACCCCTTTATTTCTCTCCTCCTTTTTAAACAATTTCTATATATACTTAAATTTTTTAAAATTTAAGTGTACCCTTAAGTTTGTACCCATTTCCCATAGCCTCTCTTCCTCCTGCCACCTCTGGCCTCCTTCTGCCACAGTAAAGCCCATTAACGATCCACATCTTTCCACATATCCTTGTCTGTCTACAAATCCTAGGCATGTACACATATCCGCGTGTGTTTTTGTTTGTGAGACAGGGTTTTGCTGTTACCCAGATTGGAGTGCAGTGGCATGATCATGGCTCGCTGCAACCTCCAATTCCTGGGCTCATGCGATTCTCCCACCTCAGCCTAAGTAGCTGAGATTACAGGCACACGCCACCATGCTCGGCCAACTTTTTAAATCTATTTTTTGTAGAGATGAGGTTTTGCTGTGTTACCCAGTCTGGTCTCGAACTCATGGCCTCAAGTGATCCGCGCACTTTGGCCTCCCAAAGTGCTGGGATTACAGGCGTGAGCCACCTTGCCTAGCTCCCACCACAGTTTTGAAGGAAAGACATTTTAAAGAAATGGCCTTTTCCGGCCAGGCACAGTGGCTCACGCCTGTAATCCCAGCACTTTGGGAGGCTGAGGCGGGTCGATCACCTGAGGTCAGGAGTCCGAGACCAGCCTGGCCAACATGGCAAATCCCCTTTTGTACTAAAAATACAAAAATTAGCTGAGCTTGGTGGCAGGTGCCTATAATCTCAGCTACTCGGGAGGCTGAGGCTGGAGAATTGCTTGAACTTGGGAGGCGGAGGTTGCAGTGAGCTGAGATCGTGCCATTGCACTCCAGCCTGGACGACAGAGCCAGACTCTATCTCTTAAAAAAAAAAAGAAAAAAGAAATGGCCTTTCCTACATTTCAAGTTTCTCACCAGGCGATGCCTTGTGGCAACCCCCCAGGTCACCTGTGGGGACTGTGGTTTATTCTAAGGGCTGTGCAGTTTTCCACAGTGTGGGCGTACCATAGTGTGTTTATTTCCTCTCTTTGTGCCTGTCTTAACACCAGGATCTTTTAGAGACCCTTAGAAAGAAAAGCTAGTGAATGAAACTGCAGAGGCTCCCATTTATACCAACAGAGATGGTTTCTGAACCATCAGTAACTCACACATCAGCCCCTATTTATAGTTTATGCAGTCATCTCAGAATTGGGTGTCATAAGCTGGGTGTGGTGTGTGCCTATAGGTGGTCCCAGCTACTCGAGAGGCTGAGGCGGGAGGATCACTTGAGCCTGGGAGGTTGAGGCTGCAGTGAGCCATGATTGCACCACTATACTCCAGCCTGGGTGACAGAGTGAGATCCTGTCTCAAAAACTAAAAAAAAACGGGTTTCATGCACCTTGAAAAGAACTTAGGCACAGGGGTGGGGACGTAGGCCCACAACTTGTCTCCCTGCTGGGGCTGTGTTTTGACCCGCTCTGTCCTCCTGTCAGGGTGGTAGACAACGAGGGGACCCTGCAGCTGAAGAGAAGCTTCCCCATCGAGCAGAGCTCACATCCTGTGCGCAGCATCTTCTGTCCCCTCATGTCCTTCCGCCAGGGGGCCTGCGTGGGTGAGTCCTGTAGGGACAGGGGATCTGGGTGACTGGGGAGGGGCAGGAGCCAGGGCTGGTGCCAGCCTGGCTCAGACATCATGACACACTGATTCCCTGACTTCCTGGGCCTCATGACCCCTCCTGCCCCAACAGCCTCACTCTGGGACTCACAGCTCCAAACAGCTCAGAGAACTCACAGTTTGCACTTGATCTCAGCCAAAAGGCTGAGAAGTGATGAAAACTCACACTTTGAACGCACTTCCCCCCAAACAGCCCAGAGACCTCGCACTCTGCACACAGTACCGAAACAGCCAGGCGACCTCCCATCTAGGGATGGGGCCCCCTCAAACCTCCCCAAGCCATGCTAGGACCTCACACCTCGGACATACACCCTTCAACACCTCAGACACCTCAGGGACTTCCCACCACGGGCACCCCAGGCGCCTCCCGATGGCCTCTCCCTCTCACCCCGACAGTGACGGGCAGTGAGGACATGTGCGTGCACTTCTTTGATGTGGAGCGGGCGGCCAAGGCTGCCGTCAACAAGCTGCAGGGCCACAGTGCACCTGTGCTTGATGTCAGCTTCAACTGCGACGAGAGCCTACTGGCCTCCAGTGACGCCAGCGGCATGGTCATCGTCTGGAGGCGGGAGCAGAAGTAGGGTCCTGTCAGCCCTGCTGCTGTCCTCCATCCCACCCCTCTTACTCCAGCCTCGTGTTGTAAATAAAGTTTCGGTGGTCGTGCTGAGGGCCAGCTCCCAACTCTGCCAGGGACGGGCAGGGCAGCGGGCAGCTCCAGAAACACGGTGGAACGGGGTTCATTGACTCATTCGTGCATTCATGCATCGACGGATTCATTCATTCCACAAGCATTGATTGAATGTCTGCTGGGTCACAGGCACCGCCTTAACTGTTTTACACACTCATGCATTCGATAGACATTAGTGAGCCTCGACCGTGTGCCAGGAACTGTTCTGGGCACTGGGGATACTGCTCTGACCTAAACTGACAGAAATGCCTGCCCTCATTGGGCTTGCATCATAATGGAGACAGTAAACAAAAATACGGAACAGGCCAGCTAATGATGAGTGGTGTGAAGAAAATAAAGCAAGGATGGGAGACAGAGCTGCAGAAGTTGGGGTAGTGGGCTTTTTATGGTGACAGCATCAGGGAAGATGATCCTGACAGGGTGACTTTTTTGTTCTTGAGACAGGGTCTCACTCTGTCACCCAGGTTGGAATGCAGTGGCATGACCATAGCTCACTGCAGCCTCAATCTCTGGGACTCAAGTGGCCCTCACTTAAGCCTCCCAAGTAGCTGGGACTATAGGTGTGTGCCACCACATCCGGGTACTTTTTGTATTTTTAGTAGAGACGGGATCTCGCCACGTTGCCCAGGCTGGTCTCGAACTCCTGGGCTCAAGCGATCCACTCGCCTCAGCCTCCCAAAGTGCTGGGATTACAGGCATGAACCACCACACCTGGCTCAGGGTGACATTTAAATAAAGACTTGAATGAAGTGAGTGGGAGTCATAGTGTAGGGGGAGAACATTCTAGGCAGAGAGAAAGCCAGCCTAAAGGCACTGAGGCTGGAGCGCTCCAGAAGGATCATTGTGTATGCCAGAGTCTTGCTGGACCAGAGTGTGACAGTAGATGAGGTCAGACAGGCCAGATGCTTCGTGGGCCACAGTGAGGACTTCGGCTTTTTTTCTGAGTGGGGGTGACCAGAAGGTCTCAAGCAGAGGAGGGATATGATCTGACTTGGTCATAGAGGCTCCCTCTGGCTGCTGAAGGGAACAAATTGGGGGTGGGCGTAGAAGCAGGGGACCCAGCAGGAGACCCCTCTGAGCGCAGTGATGGGGACTTGCACCAGGGTAGTGACAGTGGAGGAGTTGGCAGGGAACGTTGGGTTGGACCCCCAGGGGGTTCACCATGTTAGGCTGCAGGACTCTGCTGCCTCCTTAGGGGGCGATATTCCCAGACTCCTCCACACAGCAGCCCTTGCCTGGGCTCCACCTCTCTCTGTGCATAGTGTTGTTTCTTGAAAGCAGGGAGCAGACGTGTTGGGTCCTGGAGCCCCAAGCTGGTACAGGAGCAACTGGAAGTTAAGGCTGACCTGGGGCCTCCTGCTGTGTGGTGGAATCTTCATCCCTCAGACCACCCTTGTCTCCTCCCAGCCCCATTCAGGGTGCAAATTCCAGCCCTGGAACAGCTTAGAGACCAAAAAGTGATGTTAAGTATTTGAGGGGAGCCCCGAGAGAGGAGAAAAAGGTTTGAGTATTGATGGGAGTAAATAACCAAAATCACTTATCAGTGGCCTGTGTCACCAGAAAATGTCAAAGTTACCTGAAGCGGCAAAGAGGCTCTTGCTCCGTCCCCTCCCTCCCTCCTCAGCTCCATTTGTTGCCACATATGCGTTGACTGGAACTGCGACTGACATCTTGGGACCTTAGGGTCAGTCCACAGCTTGGTAGAGACTCCAGCTTGGTCCAGTGTTGCTGAGCTGCTGAACTCGCACCAACAGTCTTGTTGGAGGGAAATAATCTCCCGTTTGTTCGGTCCAGTTATTTGACAGTGTGGTTACTTTTACCCCATCATTTCTATCTGGCACTTCCATCTAATAGACCTCAGGGTACATGGTGGTGAGATAGGGACATCAGTGAGCTAGATTGTTCCCGTGGTAAAGGTCATGTATATGTGTGTGTGTGTCATGGTCCCCAATACCAGTCCCAGGCCCAGTGATTTGCTAGGAGGACTTCCAAGACTCAGTATGTGGTTGTATTCATGGCTATGATTGATTTATTACAACAAAAAGATATAGAGCAAAATCAACAAAAAGAAATGGTGTGCAGGACCAACTCCCAGAGAGACCCAGTCACAAGTTTCCAGGGCTCCTCTCTCATTGGAGTCACAGAAGATGTGCTCGGTTCACAGTAATGGGTTGTGACAATACATGCAAAATGTTGCCAACCAAGGAAGCTCAATTAGAGACTCAGCACCCAGAAGTGTTTTTTTGTTGTTGTTGTTGTTTTGTTTTGGGGGGGGGGTCTTGCTCTGATGCCCAGGCTGGAATGCAATGGCGTGATCTCGACTCACTGCAGCCTCCACCTCCTGGGTTCAAGCGATCCTCAGGCCTCAGCTTCTCGAATAGCTGGGACTACAGGCACACACCAGCAAGCCCAGCTAATTTTTGTATTTTTAGTAGGGAGGGAGTTTCACCATGTTGGCCAGGCTGGTCTTGAACTCCTGACCTCAAGTGATCCTCCCACCTCAGCCTCCCAAACTGCTGGGATTACAGGCGTGAGCGCCTGGCTGGTATCAAGTTTTTACTGGGGTATGGTCACACAGGCACCCCCTGCCTGACACCTACCCAAATCCCAGACTCCCAAAAGGAAAGCAGGGGCTCAGCATAAACCACCTTTTTAAATTATTATTATTGAGACGGAGTCTCACTCTGTCGCCAGGCTGGAGTGCAGTGGCGCGATCTCGGCTTACTGCAACCTCCGCCTCCTGGGTTCAAGCAATTCTGCCTCAGCTTCCTGAGTAGCTGGGACTACAAGCACGTGCCACCATGCCCAGCTAACTTTTGTATTTTTAGTAGAGACGGGGTTTCACCATATTGGCCAGGCTGGTCTCCATCTCTTGACCTTGTGATCCGCCCACCTCGACCTCCCAAAATACTGGGATTACAGGCGTGAGCCACTGCTCCTGGCCCACTTTTTTATACAAACAGCTTAGGTAGAGTAAGCCATTCTTTTTTATTTTTTATTTTTTTCTTTTTTTGAGACAGGGTCTCACTTTGTTGCCCAGGCTAGAGTGCAGTGGCTCAAGCACGGTTCGCTGCAGCCTCAACCTCCCAGGCTCAAGCGGTCCTGCTGCTTCAGCCTCCGAAGTAGCTGGGACCACAGACATGCACCACCACAACCCCAGCTGATTTTTGTAGAGATGGGTTTCACCATGTTGCCCAGGCTGGTCTTGAACTCCTGGGCTCAAGTGATCCTCCCACCTTGGCCTCCCAAAGTGCTGGGATTACAGGTGTGAGCCACCACACCCGGCCAGAGTGAGCTGTTCTTATCTCTTAGGGAATGGTGGGAACCCTCCTGGAATCTATGTTCCTAGACACCAGTCAAGGGCCAACCTTGAAGCAGGCCTTTCCAAAGATCGCAGTTGAGGCCTGCTCTGTTACTGTTTTTCTGCACAGTATGCAACACCACACAGATGCCCAGTTTCCACCAAGGTCTGTGGATGGCAAGATAATTTTGAGGAACCTCCTTTTTCGCTAACATTTTTCTTCTTTTGTTTACACTCTTCACATTCTCTATTGAGTCTAGATTCAAGATGATTGATCATGAATATTGTTGTGCATGATTTTGGGGGTCTCCTCTTTGTGAAATTTTGAGGTGGCAGATTTGACATTCTACTTTAAACTCATCTTGGTGGTACTTTTCTTGACTCACCACCTAAGGAGGAAGAATAGATAATGCAGAAAGAATAAAAATAGTGTTATCAGTCGCATTTGGGCCTCGGTTAACTTGTCCAGCATCACTGGTTTCACATCAGATCTGAAGCTCTGTCAACCATTCCACTATCAATGCCACTCTGGTCTTGCCTCAAATCGAGGCTTCGATTAATTGTTCCCTGCCCTTTGTCTGACTTTGAACCTGTGTGTTTGTCAACTACTTCACCATCAAGAGCCTCTCTGGGCCAGGCGCGGTGGCTCATACCTGTAATCCCAGCACTTTAGGAGGCCAAGGCGGGCAGATCACGAGCTCAGGAGATCAAGACCATCCTGGCTGACGCGGTGAAACCCCGTCTCTACTAAAAATATGAAAAAATTAACTGGGTGTGGTGGCGGGCGCCTGTAGTCCCAGCTACTCAGGAGGCTGAGGTAGGAGAATCGCTTGAACCCGGGAGGCGGAGGTTGCAGTGAGCCGAGATTGCGCCACTCCACTCCAGCCTGGGCGACAGAGGGAGACTCCGTGTCAAAAACAAAAAACAAAAAAACAAAAAAAATGGCTGGGCGCAGTGGCTCACGCCTGTAATCCCAGCACTTTGGGAGGCCGAGGTGGTGGATCACGAGGTCAGGATATCGAGACCATCCTGCCCAACATGGTGAAACCCCGTCTCTACTAAAAATGCAAAAATTAGCTGGATGTGGTGGCGTGTGCCTATAATCCCAGCTACTCAGGAGGCTGAGGCACGAGAATAGCTTGAACCCAACAGGCGGAGGTTGCAGTGAGCCAAGATTGCGCCACTGCACTCCAGTCTGGTGACAGAGCGAGACTCGTCAAAAAAAAACAAACAAAAAAAAACACAAAGCCTCTCTGGTCTCAGAACGAAGCTGGGCCTTTGTTAACTATTACCCCACTGGTGTACCACTGGTCAAATCTCACACCAGGGCTACTGTATAATATTTCACTAGCAATTGACTTCTGATCTGACCTTGAACTGAACTTGGGCTTCTATTAACTACTGTATTTTGTGATCAGCGCCCTTTTGCTCCATTCCAACCTCGAGGACCCTCAGTCCTGACCTTGCATCTGGGCCTCTGTTAATTATTTCACCACCAATGCCCTTATGGTGTCAATTCCAATCTGCACTTTTGTATTAACAGTTGTACCATTGGTTGGGCACAGTGTCTCACGCCTGTAATCCTAACACTTTGGGTGGCCGAGGCAGGCGGGTCACCTGAGGTCGGGAGTTTGAGACCAGCGTGACCAACATGGAGAAGCACCGTCTCTACTAAAAATACAAAATTAGCTGGGAGTGGTGGTGCATGCCTGTAATCTCAACTACTCAGGAGGCTGAGGCAC